TTTATTGCCTTTACCTATTTTTACCTTGATCTCATATCCAACATGAATTTATCCTTGACGGACGTTTGAAGCCCATTACTTTAGTTCATAAACTTCTTAAACCTCTTCAGTTCCTAAAACTAGCTCCTTCCTTTTGTTAAAGGAATTACACTCGTTTCGAACGAAACGAGGTTGTTTCGTCGAGTCGATTAAAGCTCTGCCACAGCGTTACTCACCAAATAGAGAGAAACGAAGACTGTGAAAACGGTTAGTCAAGAATAAACAAATGAAATTCCTCTAGCAGCATGGATTTTGTTCAAGTACAATTGGCTTCATGGTAAAGCTATGCTGTGAGCGTGGCTTTACTCTGAAGGAAAAACGAATTAGCGTATATTTATCTGAGTAGGGGAATGTTGAATAATTTGGTGGAAATTTCTTGTTACTTTATTATTTCATCGTTAGCCGGAAGATGTCCCAAGATACATTGGAAAGCCCTCCATTAGGTGCCGACCATCATCGTAACAGTCGCGGGCAACCGGTGGATTTAAACGTAGTGTCGTTCGTGTGGCGTTCTGAAGGGGTGGCCTTTTATTCTTTGATTTAAAATTACTGATACGATATAAATGAAAAAAAGAAATGAGAAATACGCATAACTCGAGACTGTTTAATAAACGAATAACGACGGCGTTACAATTTCGATTTTAGAATTAGCGAACATGCTAGTGTCTGATCACTAAATGTTTACGTTTTTTAAACACGTTTTAAAAGACATTACAAGGCGAACTTATGGTGTAGTTCCCAATGCTGTGCGCAGGTTAGACCAATATAAGAATTATTTCAAGTCATGTAAGTAATTTTGTTAAGTTTTTCCCACAGTAAAATTGTTCCAAAGTGAGTTCGAGTTTATATTTAGAAGACAAAACTTTGTTTGCATATGTTGTTATCTCAATACGAGGATTTAATATAATCTGGGACTGCCAACGTGCTCCATTCTAAATGTATGATTGATGAATGTAAGATAAAATCTACAATACTTTATTTGCAATATCGATCAAAGATTGTGTAAATATTTCTAGCATAATTTTGATATTACTTTTGTTTCCACTTGTGGGCTTCACTAATTTCAAGCATTTGTATGTTTGAAAAATCAGAAAGAAAAAGTCTGAATGGTCTTCTTAATGATCCGAATGATTAATTCAAAGAATTTAACCATCCTTTTGTCAACTCAAATGACATTTGAAAATTCTATTTGACAGTTAATTACTTAATAAAATTGTGTGACGGGTATACTTCTTTACCTGGTTATTTTTTTTTTGGGTTTGATGAGCCACTGTTGGCCTTAGGGACCTTTACAGATCCGACGGACTTGAGGTGGCCTGGCGCACGGGGCGCCTAGCCTGAACCTCGGCGTATCTTGTTACATTTGTAGTAAGTTTTTTACAAGAAAATGTGTTGAACAAGTAGCCGTATAAGACTAAAGGCCCATTTACACGGTGCAAGTTTCTTGCCTGTAGTATACAATTAAATTGAAGCAATAAATGAGTTGCATGGTCTAAACAACAAATGGTCTAAACAATTATTGCGCGCAATTTATTGCATTCAATTATTGCTCTTGTATGTACAAGAAAATGGCATCGTGTAAATGGGCCTTAACAGTAACACATCATCGATGACGACTAGTTGCTAAGTCATTGGCTTCGGCACCAGGGGTCGTGACTGCGATTCTTCGATTCTTCACGGTCAAAGTATAAATAATTTGTTAGTTCCCTAGGAGGGTCACCTGACCCAATACCATTAACATGATTCACATGTAGTGTCCACCTAGTTAAGGGCAGGAGAAAGAATAAGAAAGAAGAACACAAACATCGGTAGTCAGTAGGTTGTCATACGTGTTTACTGCCCATGAATATCTAAAGGGTATATTTAAGTATCATATATATCAGGGTACCTCACTCGTCAGGCAAACCGTAATAGTATCAATACTATACGCGGTGCTTTTACATGACCCCACAAAATGTTGTCTTGCAATACAAGATATGATTGAGAGGATCTATCGAAGTGAAAAAATATATTTTCTGTGATCAGGTCTATCATTTTGCATTGCTGTAACAGTCAAATTGGCGGGGATGTTGGTGAAAAAAAAAATGGGAATTCATGTAAGGGCCGGCAATCCGCAATGGGACCGTACAGCTCTCCTAACTCCCTATCCCTAAATACCCTCAGTGGAGGTTTGTGCAACAAAAGAACGTTATACGCTGTCACTTAAGTTTACCAAAGGGAATCGGTAAGTGTTAAAAAAAAGTTAATAATAATTTGTTACTTTTAATCGACGGAGTCAATGGTTCGGGATTTTTAGTGCCATTATTTGTGAAATACAGATAAATTGTTTCGTTCCTTTTGATAAATACTATGGTAAATATGAGGTCCCATTTTATAAAATAAGATACAAAGTTCAGAAATACGTGCATTTTTGTTATTCCAGAACGTGGCAACCGAGCTGGTGGTTTACCTGATGTTAAGTGATATCCGCTGCCCAAACAAAGACTGTTGCTAGGCCCTACCCAATTAGGATGTATATCCTAATACATACTCAAATAGTAATTACACAAGAAAGAATAACCATCGAATAAAATATTATGACTAAGTATTACGTCCGGATCATAATACATTGTGAAAGCATTCTGTGTATACCTAATAAATAAAAAAAAATCGATGGTAGCTCAGAACAACTCTGCTATTGGGACGCCACAAATCAACCAGTAATTCAATTCACTTAAAATATTATATCTTTACTAACCATAAAAAAGCTTTGTAATGGATAACGTCTAACTGCTACAGCGATTCTAACGACGTTTTCAGTAGTCACATTGATCCTTCGTTGTAAAGACTGTTATTTCATAAACTGAAAGATATCTTAAACATAGAACCATATCAGAGAAATCGTGTATAATAGTTTGTTGATACGCGCGAATTCGTTTGAGTTGCTTATTTATATTAACACCACAATGTATTTTATGTTCAGAGGATAAATCACTGAACACGTAGTGCTTATTTATCTTATGAATAAATCGAAATCTGTTTCTTTAGCTTTTCCGTGATACACGCAAGACCTGTATCATGTTATTTATATAAATTAAATGAACGAATAAAATTAGCCTGTTCGCAAAATCTGATATTTGCGTCGAATTTCATGGATGTAACTATAACGTAGAAAAGTTTTTTTTATTGAAGTAAAACTTCTAAGAGGCTTTGGACGACGACAATGCAACGGTAACGCGTTACGGCGATGACGCGAGCTACCAATATTGATGCTGTATGTATGTATGTATCTGAACTATACATTTAAAATATAAAAGTTATTAATAATTTTTATTTATTAACAAATAAATAATATATTAAATTACTTAATTTAAATTATTAATTATAATTTTAAAGACGTTTTTTATTTTACTTCAACCGCGTGTAAAGTTTACACGCACATTCATCTTTTTTTACATTATAGTTTAATGGCTTGGGATTTCTCCATACAGCCTATTCATTATAAAAAGTCAAAGTGGCTTGACAACTTACCCACGTGGCTATTATAGCAAATAAATCATTAAAGCTATAGCGTTCGCATCACTGTACTTAAACTTCGTCGGAGCTGGCAACCCCACATCCCCTGGCGCGATTCACAAATGATTTTATTCAGCAGAGGGTGTCGTCGCTGATCATTCGCACATGTCGCTGTTTAGTGTTAATTGGTCATCAAATAGAGCAAGCGACCTGCTGTTTGGGGTTCGAATCTTAATGACCCTAAATAAGAGGACAGCTTAAAAAGTTTCCCCGCTTTAATGGCCCTAATTTAGTATACATTGAATTTATATTTGTGCCCTGTTTCAATCGTTTCAAATATTTTTCTGATGAAAGATGGCTGAGAGTAGACCTGTTGTATAGTAACTTTCAGTAAAAATTGTGAATACTATTATTGATCCAAAATTTGACTAGAGGGATGATCAAGTATTGGTCAGTATTTGATTAATTTATCCTTGTAGGCTTTTATACTCCTGCTTTCAAGACATGCATTCTATTATAATGTTTATTCTGGTCGTTAATAACGGATAGCAAAATAAGTGAAAATGGACTTTGAATTTATACACATACAGAAATTTTGCAGTTATTTCTATATCGATTCTTATACGGTGATTTCTAGTTTTTTATATTTATTAATTAGTTGGGTACTATTTATAGCATCGAAAGCGATTTTTCTGTCAACTCTACTTGCAGTAGGATTGTACGGTCGGTAAATCAGCGGGCGGATTAAGTCTCGCTATTTACAAATGCACCCTCCACGCACTACTTTGTTTGCTGTCCACACATGTCACCTGTTTCTGTATGACACCCAGCTTTACGGTCTTATTGATCCGCTATTATTACGTTATAGTGTTGACTGCGTGAAAAAGTAGTCTGCAGTTCTCTTTTTTGTAATAAACAATTGCCTTTTATACTTGTGTAATAAGAAAAAAGAAGTTGAATTAGGCAGGAATTGTATAAGAAATAGATTGCTTTTTTTATAAGGAAGCCTTGTTTTTGTTTTATATAATATGGTGTCAAATAAAGTATTCATTAGTTTATTAATTTAAAGAATAATTTGCATATACCCGATGCAGTAGTATTGTTGCTGACAATTTTAAACAATGTTTAAGCTTACGTTTGTCTAATTTTGAACTGATTGAAAATAAATTAGAGTATCACGATCATCACTACTTAAATAAGAGTTACTAATTTTATGACGTAATAAATCTGTAAATCTATGTCTCATTGTTATTCTAACCCGCAATCTCAAATCAAAACTCGATGTTCCGATCTATTAGGTTATTGCTACATTCTCCATGGATAAGAAGTTTTACAACCTTTACGCAAGATGTTCATGTCAAGTCATTTATTTTAACTCGTGTTAACTGTTTGTGCCAACATTAAGAGAAAAAAACAAAACCTCATTTAATACTGACCGCTTTTACAAAAATACAAAAAAAACACTAACCTCCCAACTCGGGTATTCGATGGTAGAACATCCCAGTGCGCGCCAGCCACTCCAGTTGCATGTGGTGCAGCACGCGGTCACCAGGGTGGTGGAAGGCGGAGGGCATCGGGGCTCCGGGGGGAACCCCCGGCTGCGACAGCTGCGAGTAGCTGAACAGCGAGGACTGCGCCGCGACCAGCGCCGGATTTTGTGGCAGCAGGCCAGGCTTCGGAATTATACCTGGTGATGGTGAGTTGAAGTAAATACGATATTACCAATCAATAGATTAATCTTGACACGTTGTAATTAAAATTTGTAGGGAAATGGACGGAAAGCTTTTCGGCGAAGCGGGAATAGAACCCGCCATGTCGATGATCATTTACCGAATAAACTATTGATTTGAAATAAACTTTAAATATTGTACCGAATTGATAAATTGCTGACGAAACTTATACAAAAGGTAAAACTATATAAAAGGTAAATATGTTCTGTTCTTACCATAATATTATAGTATTTATTGTAGAGACGAGGCTAATATATATTTTAATGTATATCTAACTTTCCGTCTGAATGTTACGCCTTAGCCTATTGTACTCAGACTTAGTCGTGGGCAGCAGCTAGTAAATAAATATTCCGAAGTTCAAGATAGTTCCAAAGCCTGATATTGATATATTTGAGAGAAGTTTGTATTGCATATTAATTTACTAGAAAAGGAAGCAAGGGTTGTTACAAAGAAAATGCAAGATTCCAATAACATCAACAAATTATCCGCGGTTATTTCAGGCAACCAAATTATACTACTAGCCGGTCACGATATATAGAGCTGCAGCAGGAATGCGCTCTCACCGTCCCTCTATCGCCACAGCACTGGCTTGGTTTACTTTCTAATTTTTCATGACTACTGACGTCACAATGTTATCGTGGCCGGCTATTATGAACGACTCCTTCTCGAGCCGGCTCAGCATCAGTTAGTTGCAAACTCACCTGGCCTATAGCTCTCGTACTCTTCTACGCCGCCCTCGACGCCAGGGGAAATCGGCGGGCTGTAGCTCTCCGACCTGTTGCCGTCGTCGGAGCCAGGGGATCCACTTCTGGGGGTGCTCTGCCCCGACCGGGGGCTCACGCTCTCCACCCTTTCGAACCTCTGCTCGAAGCCACGATTCTGGCACCGCTCTATCGTATTGTGCTCGATTTGGGCCTCGTAGTTCTCGCTGTTGTACCTCGCTATGTAGTTCTTGTTTTGGATGTAGGAGAGGTACTTCTGCTGCGCCTTCTCCTGTATCGAGGACTCCGGCTCCATGTGGCGCGAGAGCAGGGCGTCTATGCAGAAAGACTTCTTCCCCTGGCCGATTATCGTTTTCTCCTCGTCCATGTGCTTGTAGTATTTCATGCTCTTGGGGCTGCTCGAATGGCTGCGGTCAGGGTTGGAGTCCTGGTCTATCTCGAGCGGCTTCTCCTGCGTCTCTTCTGAGTCGCGGCGGTACATTGCTTGGGGTAGGATTTGCGATGACATACTCATCAGGCCGGTCGCTCGAGTTACATTACTGCACTGCGGGAAAACATAGCCTTTTATACCAGATGAAGTTTAATATACAACTATAACGCCTGAATAAGTAAAAAAATAGACCAATTCGCACCGTGCGTAGAATAACGTTCTGTGGTCACATAGAACGAATTTGATTTTATCGTCGGAAAGTCTTAATTATTGTCTACGCTTTCAGATGACATTAAATTTTTTTCGTCTGACTTATAGATATTGAGATTCAGAATAGAACAACGTTCTATCTGATTTGTGCTCCGCAGTACAAGGACATATGTACGTTTAAACACTGTTTTTTGGTACTGACTAGACTAAGCTTAGTAATGTAATAGACGAGTGTATAATACTCTATTAGAGTCAATTGACAATTACTGTACAGTCACCCACTTTTTATGGTTTTTTCCTTGAAAAAAGTGCTACATGCGTTTATGTCATACATATTTTCTGAGTTTTTAGTGGAACAACGTTATATAAACGTGTATATATGAACTTATGACCCATCAGACTTTGTCATTTTCCGAAGGAAAACGTCACTATTACACATGAAACGTCTTATTTCCTAAACGTATGTAATTATTTAAACAAAATGTTTCATGAGATGATGATAATGACTTTAAGTTTAGTAACGGTAATAGAACAAGGATGGTTTAAAGATAAAATAAAGTACTTATATGCTAAAAGTAAACCGTGGGTGGGTGTGTACATAGAACTTGGAATAGTTCTTATATTGCGGATTTTATCGCATTTACCTTTTGTTTTAAATTCTCCTATAACTTTTTAAATTTGGTACAGTTTACATTTAACAAGACTGTCTTTCTGGGGTCTATGGGATAGATTATTATGTTACTGTTTACACAGTGTGTGTTATTATTGCCAACTTTTTAACGGTTCGCAATGTATCTGCAACCATGTTATGTCATGTGTTATATGTTCATGGGCGACGGTAATCACCTAACATCAGGTAATCCATTTTAGCAACTTATTACATAAAAAATAAGATATAAGTAGGTCACCAACTGCACCTTAGCTATTTTTTTTTTAATTTTGCTAAAGTCAGACAAAATTTAAATTGCATTGGAAAGCATTTTCTCCGAATTGCACGAACGCCAAAAACGTCCAACCGTGATCCGTTATCCGCATAATACCAATTTATCGTAGCTTAGTTTAATTAAACAGATACAGATAATAATAGAGTGGTTAACGCTTAATTAAATTATATCGAGGGTATAGCAAATGATGGCGTAATAAAGCCATCATTGTATTTTAATATTCTGTTATCGAACGTAGCTGAACGGCACGCGGCACGAGAGTGATACAATATTAACCGGACCAATATTAAATTATTACCTATTCTAAATTCAAACTAGCCCGATATTGCCTCCCTTCACATCTATCCGTTTTAAAGGTGGGACAAATATTAGTTTTGGGCCAGTTATTATAGAAATATATTTGTTGAATCAGAATTTCGTATAATTATAAATAAATACGACATTATAAATATAGTTTATGTTTTAAAGTAATATTTAGTTTCTTTTTTCATTCAACGGTCCATCGAAACAATTTTTCGGTGTTAAAAAACACTAAAATGCTTATACGTTCATATAATTTTATAGCGTTTTGTTAAAACATTTTTGTGCAACTTTAGTTTTTTTTAATAAATTGTTTACTTTTGTCGTCAGTCAAGATCAATGTCTATTGTTCCAGTCAGATGTCAGTTGTATAGAGATTATATGGTTGCAAGGGGGTGGAATAGCCACAACACTTCTTATCCTATTTTCTCCATTTACTATGGGCATTAAAATGTAATAAACTAACATCTTGGCCCGTGTGATAAATTTCGAGACATAAAAATTTAATTAAAGGATTAAAGATATATCTCCAAATACATGATATGTTCCATACGACCGCAATCTTATATAGATCTTCATATAGAATCTCATCATCTTTATACAGAATCTTATATTCATATGTGGGGAAAAAAAACTTTGCACGCTTTTTAATGGAAATTGCGCGTACTGCGAATTTAATATCAATAAGGTCTCAATTGATGACATTTAGTGCCGAGAAAATAAGTGAAAAATTATTAAAGTAGACGCCATGGATATATTTCTTGCTAATTAATAAAACTGCATAATTAAAAAATGAGGTATGAAATCTATCGTATGTTACTTATACCGAACTTATAAACTAAATCGAACATAAAAGTTTCATGCGTTCGGAGTTAGGAGCTTTTGATACCGAAATAATAACCTAAAAGATTTTCTAATATTTTTAATTTTTTACGCGAAAAGTTGGCAAGCGAGCAGGCGGTTCAACCGGTGTTAAGTGATTACCGAAACGCATGAACATCACAACATTGGGTTATATAAAAAAAAGCCTACGCCGGTTATCTCCCTCGGCAGACGAAACGCGAAAGTATTTTATTTCCACTCCTCTCTGGTCTTCTGTGAGATCGGATTCTATCTCTACCTTCCGTGCTAAACGAAGCTAAAACGATGTCCTACCACGGCTAAAAATACACCGGAGAGCAGAAAAATAACAAACGGGGATATAATCATCTACGCCTTGACCTATTAACAAATTGTGATTCAAAATTGAATGAGAAATTATTGGTACGATATAAGAATACGAGAATTTAATGAAGTATTGGTACGGTATACGAATACATTCCATATACTACAAAGCTCAGCATTGCGCGAATCGTTTGCCTTTTGTCTCCTGTGTGAGACAACCGGGTCCGGTTTATAAATGCTAGTAATAGTAATGCAACTACTGCCCCGCTGGCATTGTGAATGTATATCAAGAGCGTTACAAGTTCACAACAGTAAGTTTGTGTGCCTATTTTCCCCATAAAACAGTAGCATTACTAAGCTTAATACAATGAAAATATTCAGTAAAAATATGGTACAGGCGTACGCTTATGTACATTATGTATAAGTGAACGTAAGTAAATTTACTAAAAAAAGTATATATTTTTATTATTTTTGCTTTAATGTTTTTCTCGTTAATTTTTTCAGTTCTCAGATAAGACAATATCTACTATGATTACGTATACATTTGAAGGTAGTATCAAGTCGTGCCACTTTTATTCATCCTGAAGTAATGTCAATACCTAAAACTCTATTAGTACCTTCTTGACTCATTTATTTATTTGATTTTATCTAATAACAAACAAAAAACAACCGCATAAAAACGACGTAATATTTTTTGGTGCTAAAAAAAGCATTTATTTAATTTATTATTGAAATAATTAGTATTAAATAATTAGTATTATTTTCCTAATTTACTTCACACGGTGGAGAAAGCTGAAATTGCGCGCATTCCCGTCCCTTTGATATTCTTATGCCTTTACCCAGATCTGCCCCTAATTTACCCGTGTTTTCAATGGCCTTTTCCGTGCAAATGGAGAGTATGTGCCACAACATTTTATCAAACATTTCTTTTATGGATAGAAATTAAGGATATCTACATACTTATGTCTGATATTTAATAATAAGATAAAAATTTCTTTCATTATTTCTTATCAAAAATGTGTTCTGTCACATTTTGTAGCACTTTATTTCTTTATGAATATTGTTATAAAAATTTAAATTCTTATATGAATTATATCTAAGCTGAAACTAAATTCTAACACTATCTTAAACCGTAGGAAAACTGCCGAAAATAGAATTTTTAACTAGTCTCGGTTTTAGATTGTGGCTAGTTTACAATAAAACACTTCGATCTCCATCAATATTCTGATGAGAAAGTGACAACATTAATTTTTCTTGTATAAAATTAATAAAGGTAGAGTAAAACGTAAGTATTTTTTTACATATTTCAATTAAATCCAATCGATATTAAAATCACCGTATAGCCGATCATCCGAAATTCTTATTTGCTCGTTAAAATATCAATTAATTCTTATTATCTTTATGTAGAGCAATGTAGTGCACGATATGAAGAAACTTTGAAATGTAACGCAAGAAATTCAAAATGACTTTATATCATAAAAATACATATCTAGTATAGTTAAACAACATTGGTTCAATAGTAGAAGAAAGTTTTGTTTGAAATAACGCACAGAGACGTATTTCACTCTATTAGCAGATTTACCTACTATCAACAACGATGTTATCTAACGTAATCGTCTCGAAAACGATACACATACAAACTTAAATAAATTCACTTTGAAATTCAAAAGAAATGCGACATATATTTTAATGTTTAACCAAAATGAATGAAATAAAGTAAAAAGAAAAGTGCAATTTGGACACACACTTTCAACACGAAATCAAGGCGCAAATAGTTTGAACTTTGTGTGACTTAACGATAAAACTTTTGCTGATTCTGTTAGTATTTACCACTAGAGTTATTATAACAATCATTAGTACTCAAAACGCAAAAATTTACACAAAAAGGTGGTGCACCACTGAGCTATTGGGGCAGTTGATAGTCGAAAAAAATTATTTGCATATTTATTTTAGGAAATATTTTAACAATATTAAAAGCACCACAAATATCAATAAAATAAAATCCCAACCTACCTTCACAAACCGAGATTTATTTTTACGTTGGTCTAAAACACACCACAGAAAATGTTATCGTTGGAAATTCTATTCTATTAAAAAAAAAAAAAACTGCCAACGCTTCGGTTTCCAAACGAGAAAGAATAGAACACGCGACGTAGAGAGCGTCGCGCGGCGTTTCAGAAATCCAGTCGCGAGCAGTAGTTACAAACAACTGGATTATTTTATTAAAGCGACTGCTATCACCCATTATCGTCCCATATTGTACCGTGTGTGGACAAAACGATGGGGCGGTACTAGGCGGCCATTACAAATCGATCCGCTGACGCCTCGATGATTCAGGAACATAGAGCTCTATATTCGCTGGAAACTGGATACGCCCCACCCTTTTTCCTTCCATCTCTTTTGGACTCCATTCGTCTCCCTTGCTCTCGGAACGGTGGGATTCACGCATGACTCGTTGCATGACTTAACTGTAGACTGCTTAACCACTATACTGGATTTCGCATTGTTTGTACTTTGAAAATTTTTTTAGATTTCATTCTGTTTTAATGCGCTTGTGCTAAAGATAATTGCAAGATTTTATTTTTCCTTGCGTCCTTTTCATCTATTTTTTCGTAAAGATGTTTTAAACAATGTTGTTGGATCTACGCCATGAATTTAAATATTAATTACATTTAAGAAAAATACTTAAACTTTTATGCTTTAGATCGTACAACTGGTTCTAATGGAAACACATTGAAACTAAACTGACAGTAATCTTGAAATACGCTGCCTTTCATATCTAAACTTGTAAAATTTGGTGAGAAATATGAAAATAAAAGATATTGTATGCTTGACATTTTGGGACATTTTTCAGTCTGTTTTATTGAATACGGAAATTTATTACGTTAAAGGCTAAAAAATAAAATGTCAATCGTATTATTTAAGACTTACTCCAAAATCTCCATAAGTCCTCGAGGTGCTCAATCAAATTCATACGGCGCACGCGAATCTTGTAGGTAATCGAATAATTTCATTAGACCAAGAAATTCCTACTTAAAACAACGTTTGCACACGTTTCCCCGAACGTACCCGGTAGATAGGGACGGCAATACTTATTTCTTTTTTCCTCACACCATTGTCTCCATAATGAGGGGCGGTGCGCCAACTTTTCAAGCCAATCCCACTGTTCGCCGGAGAAAGATGGAGGATACTTTGCTTTGGAACAAAGACAGAGAGAAGAAACGGTCTCCTTTGACATATTTATAGCTTTCACTCACGATGAATAACTTCCGAATGCACTTGCCGCCAACCGAATTAAATAGATTGCTTGCTGCCGTCTAAAGCTCGTTCGTAAACACGTGGACATTAGTGTTTCCATTATATTTTGTAACGAATAAAAGTCTTAAGTGTATTAACTTGATATTAAAGTATATTATATTTCATGATTTTAAAATGATTATTACATGAAAGTCTCATTAAAAAATGGAGTTTACCAAAATATAATAGCGTACTATTAAAAGTATAAATGTAATTTATATATCTACATATGCAATTTGGCATTTGATATAGGTTCATATGAAATTTGTAGTAACAATAAGTTAATATTACAATTTTTCATAAAATGTTTTTTTTTTATTGATAAGTCATGAAGTTATTAAGACCGAGCCTCATTGCAGCCTCCTCCATTCCTAACGCAAAACAACATGGCGGATATTATTTATGGACAAAGTTTCGCGCGCAAATTGGCCTCTTGACGTTTAAATACGATTATAATGTCTCCCAAATTGCCCGGAGTGAGGCCCCGAATTAATTTTAGTCCATTTATTCAATAAAATTAGTAGGGGGCGTTGACTAATGCACGAAATTAAAAGTGACAAACTTCGTAATTTTGTGTTATGGACGCTATGGAGAAAAGTCTACCTATTAAAGTTCAGTTGAGTATTACATTATCTTGTTGTTTGGTCTTTGTTCATTTAACAGTTTTTGATCTATGAAAGTATAATTCCGCGTAATATATACATGTTTAGAAATTATTTATCGGAAATTTGAAGATAATTATGGATAATAAATATATTAAAAATACAGAAATCTTTTAGGTAGAGAACTAATACCAGATGTAGGTCTGTGTTAAGTTGAAGGAATATTCGTAATTACTTGATTAAGCTTTTAAGTAATTGATTATCAATAGGGATAATAACAATTGATTCTCGTTCATCTGCTGACTTAGATTGCTGCCTGATTTAAAAATGAACGCCGTAAATGTTTGACATACTTTTAACTACAAAATTTTAAGTACGCCTTTTTGGTATCATCATCATATATCATCATTCAAACAACATAGGTTGGAAGAAGTACATATTAACATTTTTCATTGAGTATTAAATACGCGGTTGTTAGTATCTAAACGTATCGCGGCAAATATAATCAGTCGAATAAATAGCACAAAACACTCCACAGCACATTAGCCAGTAAACTAGTATTTTTGAAGATGCTGCAAATCTCGAACGGTGCACATGTTTAGGGGCACCACCGAATTGTTTGGGTTTTTAACTAATGTTAATGATGAACTTAAATGAAGTGACTGTTCCTCAGTGACATATTTGTTGGTTGCTTACCTGAAATAAGCTATTATCATTAAAGAAACATCTCGATCAAATTCAAAACGCGTTGATCGCTCTAATATCCCACAAATCTTTGAGATAAACACACTTTTAAAAAGCAAATAATTCATACTTAACTGACGTTATCGCTGACAGGTGTCAATGGAGCGGACGCGATCTCCGACATCTGTCAACCGCGTCGATGATTCCGAAATTAACGGTGTGATTCGGTGAGATCGATGTATTGAGATGGCCACTATCTGTTGATAGCGCAGTATCGCTTGTTACGACACTATTTAACTTGTAAACTGGCGTTTGTGGCCAGATAGAGAGGGAATTGTTTGTTTGATTAATGCGGTCACTTCTCGCTCTCTCGGCTCAGAATAGTGAAAATTCTTTTATTATCTTATAGAATTGATGAATGGAATGCTGGACTCGTCGATCGACTCATGTGAGTCATCGCATACATCAGTGTGCGTAAAGTATCGCAGGTATATTTATTGTAGGTGCACGCATTTATTCTCAAGTAGGGTTGACGCCAGGCACAAAGTCTTAGAAGAACTTAAGCAAAACCTCTGACAATATAATTCAAATGTTGTTCGTACCCTATCGAGGTGGGGTAAAGGAGGATGATTGAATAGATCGCTTTGAGGGATGTTGAAAATTATATTCCTTATTTTAGCCACAACTGAAAGTGTACGCTAAACCCGAAGTTAATATATACCTATTTGGGTCATAAGCTCTGACACGTTTATTGTGAAATAATTGAAACATGTTTGATTTTACAGTTATCATTCATACATTTACCAAAAAGAAATTACTAAAACTTTGAATACAATACTTTTGAATACAAGGCTTCAACCTTCGTGGTCAGTCGTCTATAGCAATACGAACGAGGTCCATATCAATAGCAGCGGCTGCTTTGATCCAGGATGCCTGGAATGGCTCAGGATGAGCCATTGAACAGGCCTTATCCTACAACTGTTGCCATATCTTAAAATCTTACAGATTTAAATTTGGACGGAGGAGGGCCAGTCCTTGTTTCGGATAAATCAGTTACACACGCTGCCGTTTTGCGTGCGTTTCGCTTTATGAGCTGATGCAGAGTCTTGCTGGATTACCCAGGGTCTGTTATAAAATATGGTATGAGAAAGAGGTTCCACAAGGTTTGTGAGGATTGTATTTTGATATACAACTGTATTAGTTTTTACGTTTTTCTCACAAAAATATAAGTTAGGCCCGAATATGAGACTCCAAGCGAAACCATGACTGACGGTGAAAAATGGCCATCGCTGGACACGCGAAATGTGGTTGCTCGCTTCTTTACGTGCGTGGGCGTACACCTTGTAATTTTGTTTATTGTTTTATTTATATAATTTTAGTTTTTTTTTTTTAATTATATTCTACTTGTTCTGTCTTCTACACTAATTTTAAATGGCGCATAACCGCACCGATGCAACGCGACAACCGCAACTCGATTCTTCTTTATGCGTCTACTCCATGTTTAATAATAAATGAAATTCGAATTCACCTCACTCGTAATGTACACACAAAAGAAACGCAAAACTCTTGTGAGACAGTGGTACTTCCTCGGACAGTCAGCTTATTCATGCACCACTAGAAGCTGCTTTTCTTCCATAACCAATGATGTTTAATAATATAAATGACGCATGTTCATACTGCGCGGCGTTTTAAAATTGTTCCGCTTTATGTTATACGGCATTTATAAATGATTGTGACAGATATATTGAACGTATGATATGGAAAAAGATGACAGTCTATAGAATTGCAATCCAATTACACCAATTGGTGTAATTCGAGTGCCTCGGTTTGGTAAATGGGCAAGTTAACTGCTATAATTAATTAGAATTTATGAAATGTAGAACTGCAAACTATAATAATAATCGTGTTTAATTGGACCAAACGTTTGCAGAGTTGGAAACACACTGCAAAGCCTTCCACATTTCTAATATTTGGAAATGTTCGGATAATTAAGAAGTGCTTTCCCACAGCACCGGGGCTTATCGAAGCCATAATATGTTGACTCTCAGCGTGTTTGTTTGTGTGTTTTGGCGAAACACGGCGATAAACTCGACCGCGGCCGTTCACACGGGCCCCGAGTAGGAGACGCATCTGCACCGATTACATCTCGGATAGTCTGCAATTATAAAAGAACTCTTGCTGTTGACGACCTGTCGTAATAGCATCTGATATCTGTGATCTTAGTAGATATATTATATTGAAATAATTCATATACATTTTGTAAGCTAGTATTTATGTTACTAATAAATTATAAAAAAAGTGAATTAAGTAAGAATTTTTAATTTAACTCTTAGAACTTAACCCTTTTTCTTTATCAATTCGCCTTTACTTTTTCTTTTTTCACTATCCTGTTAATATATTTCTTTATTTTTGTTAGTTGTTTTAAATACTTTTAATTTATAAATAAAAAATAAACATTACTATATCTATACGGTTTTTTCATTTTGTGTGAAAAAACTATAAAATATTAGCTTACGATTATAATATGCTACTTGGTGAAAAACAAAATAGTTAACATAATTTTAATGTATTATTATGCCTTATATAGTTATAAGCTTAATCTTAAGTGCACTGACTTTATTTAAATCTCAGCATTAGGACGTATCTCTCGTCATATCGTTCACTTGGTTATCCCAGTTAGAGTAAACATATAGATTAATTCTGACAGTAACAGGTTGGTGAATTATGGAGTTGAATAAATCAATATATCGTTTTAAATGATTTTTAGTTTGCTTGAACAGAAGGGGCCGTGTAAATTCATACAGCAATAATCTAGGCACTAGATTATGTTGACAGGGTAATTTATTGAATTTCTATATCTAATATA